AACATCTCAGAAATATGCACATTCGCCAACATGTTTCTTCAACTGCTTGCGCTCCGTGCTCCTCAGGGTGCTGAGGTATCTGATTGGCTGACAGCACATTAACCCGGATTGGCCGCCCGCTCTACGCGATTGCTGCCCATAGGATTGCGTTCCCTGCGCCCCCGCTGTTAGCAAATGCTAGGGCTCTGTTCCCTGCGCTCCCAACCTCCCGCAGATAGTCAACGCTAGCTCAGGTGTGGTGTCTCCAGCATCATTCCGTTTGGCAAATTGGCGATGTGTTTCCCTTCCGAGTCCTTTTTCGATGCAAACGTGTGAACCTTTGAGGGCTCACACCCACGCGATTCTCCTGTGTTGCTGGGCCGTCACAGGCGGCTGTTTCGGGAAGAGACCGTGGGTCTCTCTCCACTTCTCTCTTAAGTCCTGCCAGCTTGTGAGGGTTCCCACCCAACCCCATTCTCCCTGCGTGGCTGGGCCCTCACAGGCGACTGTTTCTGGAAGCGGGACCATGGGTCTCGCTCCACTGTTCTCAAGTCCTTCCATCATGGCTGGCAGATTCTTGAAAAAAAGACGGTGGAAACCGGGTCACTGCTCCGCTTACTCTCCAAAGTCGGACTCTCAAAATAAACTCCTCAGATAGGAAAAGCAACAGAAGAAGACAAAAAAATAAATAAACAAATAAATAAATAAGAAAAAAAAAAAAAAAAAAAAAAAAAAAAACAGAAGAAGACAAAGAGAAGACTTAGTGTGATCCTGAGTGGTAGAGGTCTACTCTCATCGCAAACCATGTCACGGCTGGTCCCAAACCATGCTCGGCCAGAGGTCTTTCTTAAAAAAGAATTGCCACGGTACCAATGGGCCTGGCTCAGTTGGTACACCCCAGAACTGTTGAAATACAGACTCAAGTTTGAACCCAGATACCTTTAGACGAGAAAAAAATAAAATCATTCTGAATTGCCTGAAAAAAAAAAAAAAAAAAAAAAAAAGAACTGCCATCCCAGGTGGGCAACTTTCGAATGGTCAAGACTCTAGAGTACTCTTGAAAGCTAGTTTCCTGACACCCCCCTTGAAAAGGTTCAGCTCCTAATTTTCAAGAGTAAGGGGCTGTCACTCCAGTACTCTGCCCATGCACAAAAGACAAAAAATATGGCGGTTTGAGAACATGGAAAGATGTGCTGCGGGGGGAAAGGCACGCGATTTCTGCGGCGCTCCGTTCGCCTGCGCTATCGTGTGGCTCGCTAGCTAGGTATAGCTACCCTCCCCTCCTCTCCGCCCCCCTCTATCCTCACACCTGTTCATCGGTCCCCCTGCCCGCTGCCCCGACTACTCCCTGTTACTCCCAGCGACCCTACTCAGATACTCCCCAGTCTTCCTAGCCGTCTCCAACTCCTTCCCGCCAAGCTCGGCTTCTCCCACCCTTATCACGCCCGCTTCCTGTCGTTTCTCTGTGGTATGTGCAATCGCACGTCTCCCGTCGTTCTCTTGCGTGGTTTCCCGTAGGCCTATTCTCCCTCTCCTCCTCTCTTTCCGTCTCTATCGTAGTCAATCGTCCATCGCCCATTCTACCCGCTACCCCGACTCAGTTACA